CGCCTCGTTCTGCTGCACGGTCCCACGCTTCGCCTTCCTCGATCCCCACTTTTCAATCAAATCTCGATTTTCGAATTTCCTCCAGATCGCAGATTCCGATCTTGCCTGCGAAGCCGTGATCCTTCAGGTATGCTCGCCATGCGCTGCAGTCACTCTACAGTAGCAGGAGCCGGAGCCTGGGTCGTGAGATACTTTGTCGTGCGGTTAGGAGAGGGTGCGACATTGCTCAAGGGGAGAAATTGAGAGACACTCTGTACGCATGGATCCCGTCAGCTGCTGCTGCCGAATCGCGAAAGCGTGGCTCAGCTCGCGTGCTGGCTCCAAGGATGCGGTCGTTCGGCGCGGGCCTAGACCAAGCTCGGGAACATGGCTCACCACGCGCCCGAAGGCTGTCCTCTTTTCATGTCTGCTCGCTCATCCGACGGATCGAGGTTGGCACGGCTGCCGACTCCAGAGCCCGTGATGGATGACCAGCAGCCGAAATTCCCGCTGTCAAGCTTGTGGGTCTCGGCGCCATCCTAGCGGTAAAGATGCGCAGGTGCCGAACCGGATGGCGGTAAATGGTCCTGCACCGAGGAGGCTTGGATCAAACGGACCAGGCCGTCTTGGAAAGATGCAGCTGAGAATGTGGTGGCTGGAGACAGCCACAAGCATGCCTGTCAAACTCGCTAGCCCAAACCGACTTGACTGGAACGTGGCCGACGCAGGCACGCTTGGCGGAGGCCGCAGCTATTTCCCTTCACCCGATTCGGCGGCCTGTGTTCGGGAGTGTTCCGATGGGCTGATCCTGCGCAGCCCCAGCCAGCTCGGCATCGTGAGATTCCCACGCATCTAAGTCGATCGTGAAGGGCCATGGCAAGGGTCGGGCCGAGATGCGACCCGCTTACAAGCGAGGCAGCGGGCCGTTCGTGCGGTGAAACCGAGGCACTTGTGGCGAATAAGTGTTGCGAAATTGACGTCTGGAGCGCAAGATGCTCTCGTGTGAACGTGACATCGGATCGCTCGCAGTTGCCGACTCGGCGATGCCGATACTGTGCTGCCAATGCGGTCGCTGCACTTGGCTTCGGATAGATGCGGCGCCGGTGCTGAGTCGAAATATCGACCAAGTAGGATCACGGAACGCAAGGCACTGCCAAGAATGGCTCGAGTCGTGCGGCGGCCGTGCAAGACCGCCTCACCACGGAAGCCAATGCCTTTGCTCGTCTCAGCACGCCTTGCCCGACACGCCGAATGTGCCTTTTTATTTTTTATTTTTTTATTTATTCTTTTATCAAACCCCTGTAGAGCAAGATCAGCATCCTGTCGTAACGTATTCGCATTCAGCTTAATTAGGGGTTGTCTCGATCCAACGGAGAAACATTGCAAGCTGAGACAAAGCTACAAACCATGCTGAAGCGAAGGTGACGAGACTCGGGGGGCCGTGGTGGACCCGAGGTGCAGCGTTGACGTGGAGTCAGCAATGCGCCTTCGCTTCCACTGCACGCGCTTTCACATCGACGGCAGAGTCTTTGGACGAAATGCTAGACATGGGTAAAGTCGCGCCCTGGCCAGACTCGCTAGTATCTTGCGTGGAGAGGACGCTCATCTTCTCAGGAACGCAAAGTGCCGCGCCGTCGAGCCAATTGCAACTCCGAAGCTGCTCGCCGATCCGAGAAGGCTCGACGCATGCCGAGCCAGCAGCGGCGAAGGATGCTCCCAAAGCCGGGGCAAGTGGCAGTGCATGCTGGCATCGCGGAGGCTCTCGCGTTCCAAAGAGCAATTGCCGGGCGAAAAGGGGGAGGGGGGCCTTGGCGTGGGGAAATGCTCTGAGCGACTCGCTTGCGAGCCACGCACCCACAAACAACGCCATTCCCTCTATTTCTCCCCTGCGCACGCGTCGAAGGTTGCTGGCGAGGAAGCTTTTGCTTGTCCACCTTCCCACTCCCTCGTGCGAGGTACGTGGCTCGAAACGTTGCTTGCGGGGGTGGATGCCCGTGGGTGACGGCAGCTTGACATTGCAAAGGGGGCTCAGACGGCGCCTCGGCGAGCAGCCAACCGACATGCTCGGCAACGGCGTTGACCAGCCCGGTTGTCAGCCTGCAGGCTATGCGAGACCAAACGAGGCATCTGCACGCACCCTTTTGCGGCGCTGGGCTCCCAATTCTCAAGCTACAGTAGGGAGAGCCAGTGCCGAGCACTGAACCTTGATCGTTTCTCGTTCTTGGGTGCAAGGCAGACGGACAGGCGAGCAGGTCGAATCCACTGCAGGGCCTGGGCCATGAAGGGCACATGTTCACATATGCGCTGCCATGATTCGGCACGGTGTTCGGACTGGTCCCGAAGTGCAGCTGGCCTTTCTGCTTTGAATGCGCGAGAAATCGTTTGACTGCCACGCGAATATCCGAGAGCAGGATGGACTGGACTCTACGCTCTCCTCATGGGCGTGTCGGGCTAGCTCCGATGCATTTGCTGCTGCATTTGCTGTTGCATTGGCTCTTGCATTTGATGCTGCTACTCCTGAGACAAGAGGCGAAGATTTGAGCCAATCACATGGGCTCGACTCGATTTGGAGCAAAGGGCCGGGGTTGATTCCGGATGACACCCGGACATGTGGGCCCTTCTCGAGTTTCCAACGGGATGGATAGATGCATTCGCATGCCCGGGCGGCATCCGGGCTCGCCATCCGCAGCCGGAGTTGCAATTCGCACTGCACTGCGCAGCGTCCTTCTTGCTTTCGGGCCTATCGTCGTGTCGCATCGGCTCAACTGATTGAGCATCATCATCGACACCATGCATTCACTCGCGACCAAGCTGAACTTGCTGCCGAGACTGCCAGCAGCAATCTTCCTTTCTGGGTACACTGACGCCGCACCGTGCCTTTGCAGACCGGCCCCGAGCTTTACGCGTGCGACAGCTCGACTCTCGTAACTGAGTGTTCCAGGACATGCAGGCTCGGGCAAACTCGCGGCATCGTCGGGTAATCTTGCCAGCTCAAGCTCATGCCATTCCGAGAGGCCGTGAATCGTAAACACCGAGGTCGTCGGTCGTCTGTTGCCCGCTTGTTAGCTCGTTGGATCCTCGCATCTTTGCAACTCTGCTAGCAGCCGTCTAGCCAGCCTCGCGAGGAGCACGTCGACATTTACGATACCGACGGCACTGTAACAAGCGCGTCCGTGTGTCGTGCTGCTTGGACGATCGGCACGGCAGATTTAACCGGTCTTATCGGACTCGACTTGTCTGGCAGGCTAAGACGCACAGCGTGTTTTGCTGGTCCGGGAAGGAGGACAGCATGTCTTGTGCATTTTTCACCAGAGTGGGGGAGCGACCGAAGGTGGGGGGGAGGGGGTGGGGGCATACATCACCGCCTCGGGGATCTCTGTCCATGTGACTCGCTTCCATGTCCGTTGGCAGGGGCGAGGCTCCAGCGCTCAGATCCCGTCCGTGCAGCAGAGCTGAATGTCTTGGCGAATATCAAATGTCGGAACGGACGCAGAGTGCCAACATCTCGAGCTCAGCGCAGAGCGTCAGAAACTTCGGTCCACGTGCAGCGCGGCAATCGCGCATTTGACCAGGTCCGACGAGCTTCCAAGCAATTCACCCGGCACGCTGCAGCTGGGTGTGCCAACTTCTCTGATGCATCCTTGCACGCTAAGATCCGGATCTGATTAGCTCACGACCTAGGTGTCGTGCAGTGCTGTGCATCTCAGCGCGGGGCGAGGAGGGCGTGGAAGCGGCCGGCGTGCATACGGCTCGGCATGCCGAAGCTCTGTTGATTGGTGCTGCCTCTGCGGACCGGCACGGCAAAAGGCTTGGCAGAGGCGCAATCGACACCGAGGGTAGCCGAACGTAAGCGCCGAGTTCCGCGATCACATGGGCGCGGCGGAGAGCCAACATGTAAGACGACGACGCATCGCGTACAGTGCGTGCCTGTGCAAGCGAGACGGCATCTCGTGCCTGGTCCGACTCTGCCTGCCCACTGTGAAGACGCAAAGGGCATCAAGCATGGCCGTCTGGATCTGTCTTGGCATTAAGGGTTTCTGCTGGGCCGCACTGCATGCCGATATCGCCGGCGTCAGATCGGCAGTCCTTGGTCTTTCTGGATGGGTGCCTTGGACTGCAACATGGCGCTGCATGCTGCCGGACTGCCGGCGAACGTGCATTCGGACAGCCGTGCGGCCTGGGTCACCAACTATCAAGGTCTTAATGTAGAACGCGGAAGCATTTCCGCAGCACGATACACAGCGACACGATGCTCGCTGGGCGCAGACTTTGTGTCTCGAGCGTTTCCGACGGGATGCACTTCAGAGGACTTTCGGGCAAAAGCTCGGTAATAGCCTATCTCGAATCACGTCAAATTGGACCACTGCATGTTCTATGACCGCAGTTCCGAGAGCAACAATGCCGTCACAAGACCGGGGACCCTCGCGCGTGCCTAGATTACAATGGTCTGTCACCACGCCTGTCACGCCCGCGATACAATCCGTGAACCCGGCAACCTACTGAGCACAATGGCTAGCCGTGCAGGCCTACCCGAACTGCTTCGATTGATCATCGAGGGCGAAGCCGTCCCGGATCTCGCGGTGGAGAATGCGATCCCTCCCATTGAGCGATGCCCTTCAATTTCGCCGAGGCCGAGCGGCAAAACCGAAGCGATCCCGGAGGAAACCCGTCGGTGCAAGTCTTTTGGGCGGCATTTTGGTCCTCAAAGTGCTCAAGTCTCAAAGTTTCGAAAGGTTACACTATGAAACGTCCATGACCGAGCCGAGTGACCTTGGTAGATTGGCTGTGCGTCTCGGCGAGCAACGGAGGATGTGGATCGACAGCCTTCTCGGATGCTCGGCCTGAGACGGCGAACAGGATGGCGCCGTCCAGGGCGAGGTTCGAGTTCGAGATGCGACCCGAGCGTCGGCTGTACAACGGCCAATCAACTCCATCAGACCGCCCGCCCCGGCAGAACCGGTCAATTCTTGGATGTCATCGGCATCACAGCTCCCTTCTGATTCGCGCGCGTTGAACCATCGATGGCTCGGCAGCTTCGTGCCACGCGGTCGCACGGTCACACACAACTCTGAGCTTCTTTTCCTCGTTGACCGGCGTGGTGCATCCTGATATGCAGAATCTCAGCGTCTCTCTGGGCTCGGCCAGGCCGAAATTAAGCGTGGGAATCCCAACTCTCCTAGGTCGCTTTTATTCTTCATGCATCGTACCGAGGCTGCATTAAGTTGCAGCCCTCTGCTTCTGAGATCAAACTTTCAAAGCAACCTGCCGGCCGGAAGCTGCTTCCGGTCGGTCGAGCCTTGTCATGCAAGCAGATTCGCGCCCTATCCCAGCGTCTCGCAGATACCAGTATCCCCCACGATGCCCTCAGGCAGACCTCAATGACGCCATCTCGTTCGGCTGCTAACAATGATCCAAGGCACTGTCTCGACGCCTCACCCTGCAACATTCACGACCGCGGGATGCGACATCCAGAACGGCACTGGCTTGACAATTGGAAACTGTGACAATGCGTTGCATGTGAGCGAGTGATGGTAAAGTCTACAGCGAAACCTTACGATTCGGTCTCGCGGATCTTCTCGACCCACTGGCGCAGCGTCGCCGAGAGCACCTCAGGCAGCGCCTCGACTTCGCGCACCACCACGTAGTAGTCAAAGGGAAACGTGTCCATGTAGCGCTCCATCTTGAGCTCTAGGCGCCCGTTGGCGTCGGTGTGGTACGATGCGTTGGTCATGTCGAGGATCGAGCTCCTTGCCTGCTGCAGCGCTGCTGCCTTGGGTGTGGCTGCCCCTGCTCCACCGGGCGTCGAAGTTCCGCTGGCCGTCGGCGCCGGTTGCAGCGAGTCGATGATGACAAAGACCAGCATGACGCGCTGTTCGGCCGCTCGGCGCAACAGTGAGCGAAGCCGAGCGTGATCCTGGCAGATACCATCCGAGATGATGATCTCGAGCTGCCACAGATCGCCGCCTTGCGACGCAGACGAAGACGGCCTTGCGGCACGCGCCTCGGCGAGCGTGTCGAGCGAGCGCTCTACGAGCTGAAGCACATTGGTCTTCTTCTGCTGGAAGCCCAAACGGTCGATGACGTGCGCGCCGTTCTGGTCGTTGAAGCTGCCCTTGCCAAAGTCGTGCAAGCTCTCCACATGCTCTCCAAAGCGGCAGATCGACACGTCGCCCACCTCGAGGCGCGAAAGCGCGCCCGTCACCAGCGCCAGCGTCTGGTACGCCAGATGCGCCGAGCGCGACTCAGACATACTGCGACTGTCGTCAATCGCCAGCAGCACCTGGTACTCGCGCGACGACGGCTTGGTGCGTCGCAGCCAGATCTTGTCCTTGGCGAAGTCCGATGCGATGAACGGCACAATCTTGCGCATGTTGAGACGCTTGCCCGTGCGGAAGTCGCCGTTGAGCCGCGTTGCAAGCGTCGGAGCCAGAACGAGCCGCAGTTGTTCGCACAGCGAAAAAGCCAGGTCGGCCGTCAGCGAGGCGTACGAACGCCACAGATCTCCTGCTCGTGCAAGCCGCTCTTCGCTCGAGGCGACGTTGCGGAATGCCTCCAGCTGCTGCTGCACCTCTTCGTCGGCCTCCTCGCGTACATCGTCCGGCAGTGGCGTCATGGCTTCCTCCTCGGACTGCTCCTCCTTGATCTGCACATCGTCCTCCATGTTCGCGTCGCCGTCGCGGTCGAGCTTCGCTTCCTGTTCGACTGTCGGAACAGAGCTTGCCGGCTTCAGATCCGAAGGCATGAATGCCTTCTGCTGACCATCGTCCGCCTGCTGTCGATCCTCTTTCTCCGGCTGGTCGGGAAGCGGCTGCGGCGCTTGCGGCTCGGACTCTTGCTGCTCATCGACATCAGCCGCCCGAGGCTTGGAGCCCATGGACTCGTCGACCTCTTCGATGCCAAGGTCGCCGAGTTTACGCACCTCGTCCTGCTCTTGCGCGGCACCCAGAGCCTGCAGCTCGGCGTTTCCGTCATTGGCAACGTGCTCCACATCGGCGTCCTCGGGCGGACCGTCGCCATCGGGTTTTGCCTCTTCGCCGGCTTCTTGCTCGATCTCGTCCTCGCTGGCTTTCTGGATCTCTTGCATCCTACGACGGAACTGCTCCAGAGCATCGCCCAGGCTGCGAAGTGGATTAGAGTCAACCTCGGCTGCGCCGTCTTGTTCCGCCTCGCCAGAAGCCTCGTCACGTTCAGCCTTAGGCGCTTGTGCTCCACGCTGGCCGGCTGAAGGCGGCTGTGAGGCTTGATCTTCGGTCGCGTCATCGGCCAGATCGTCCAGATCCATGCCCTGGTCGGCCTGTGATTGGTCGTGGCGAGCGTCGACACGCCTGCCTTGCGCAGATCGCGACGATTGCTGCTGGACAGCTGACTCGTCCTGGCCACCCTCATCGGCGCCTTGATCCACCGCATCCGTGTCGAACGGATCAGCGTCGATTTGCTGAGGACCAGCAGGCTTTTCGTCAGCCGCACGATCTTGCTTCCGCGTGGACTCGTCCTCGTCGTCCTCGCCATCCTCTTCCATGGCGTCTTCGCCTTCGTCTTTGTCGACTTGCGCGTTCGCCTCCTGTTCCTGCTCCTGCTCCGGCGCTTCAGCGCCGGCGTCAGGCTCTTCTCCGTCCTTCATCTCTTCATCTTGCGCCTTGTCGTCGACGAGATCGTCCATGGCCTTTTCGTCCACCTTCTCCTCCTTGCGATCCTCGGGCATGTCTTCGACGTCGCTGAGGTCGCCTAGGTCGTCATCTTCGTCGCTCCCGCCTTCGCTCTTCCCATCGAGACCGTCCATGTTGAGATCGTCGTCGAGATCAAGATTCTCGGCTTGTTCGGCCTCTTGGTCGAGCTGGCGACCTCCACCCTCGCCCTGAGCGTCCGCTTCCGCTTCCTGCTCTTCCTCTTCCACGCCGTCGGAGTCGTCTCCATCGCGATCCTCAGCATTAGTCGGGTCGTCGTCCTTGTCGGCGTCGGGCTGGTCGTCACCGTCTTGCTCCTGGGGCTGCTCTTCGCGGGACTTGTCAGCTGCCTGCTCCTGCTTCCGTTGTTTATCGTCGGCAGCAGCAGCGGAATCGTCAGCCTTGGGCGCGGAATCATCTTGGTCGCCATCTGCATTGTCGGCCCCGAGATCCTTGTTGGTCTTGTCCTCGGGCGCGTCCTTCTTGCTCTCGTCCTCGTCGTCGCCGCCCTCCCAGACCTTCTCGTCGACAGCATTCGGGTCCAGCGGGTCGACATCGCCGACGGCATCCTCAGGTTCCTGCTCGTCAGCGTCGTCTCCGTCTTGGTTGCTCGCTGCATCGTCTTCTTCGTCGCCGCTGATGTCTTCGAGGTCACCACCAAAGTCTTGATCGGCTTCCTTGGCGTTCCTCTCGCGCTCGGTCTTCTCGCCTTCGTCACCTTCGTCAGCTGGATCGTCTTTCTGCAGCTCTTCGATCTCTTCGTCGTCTTCCATCTGATCGGTGATGTCCTTGGCACCGCTTCCGTCGCCGAGGCCAGTGCCTCCCTCGAGCTGCTCGCCATCGTCGCCCTCGCCATCATCGTTCTCCTGCTCCTCAGGAGGCTTACAGAAGCCTTTGCTTGCAAGGGCGGTCATCAGATGGCAAAGCACATGGTCGAGCTTGAGCAGACTCGTCGAGAGGTGTGCAGACGCCAACAGATGGGTCCTAAGCAGTGCCGAGAATTCATGCAGGAAGGGGTAGACGGCTGCCAGCTGCACCTGGACAAATGTCTCGGCTTCAGCATCCCTGGAAAGCTGCTGAGCAAGCTCGAAAAGCTTCTGCACTTCGGAGAGGACGGACGCTGACCGCAGCACCGCCTGCTGCGCCTGCAAGGCCTGCAGTGCGGAGCTGATGATCTTATCAGACAGACCATCTGAAGCTTCATCGGCAGACACAGTGCCGGCTGCCGACGCCGAGCCAGTCTTCCGAACATCTTGTGCAATCTGCAGGACGGCGGAGATGAGCTTGTTGGCTTGATGGGCGAGACCCTGTGTCTCGCGACTGGCACCAAGAGGCGTCTTTGTCTGCGCGAGACAGTTCTCGAAAAGGCCGAAGTTGGCTGCGGTCCACGTCCAGACGGGATGCAGCAGCGATTCCAGAGCAGGCAGGCTTTGGAGATGCTCGCGCAAACCCTCCTCGATCGACTTGACCAGCGTCGCGCTGGCTTCAACGTGCGACCGTTCTTGCTCGGTGAGGAAAGCGAGCCCATTTGGACCGCTAGCGCGTGTCGCTTCTGTCAACGTCTCCACCAGCGAAGCGCTGTTCGTGAGCTCGGTGGCCCAGCTAGACAGTCGGCTCATCAGTGCGTCGCTGGCCACTGCAGGAAAAGCAGTGGTGGCAAGAAACTTGGGAGCCTGCACCCTGATCTCGTCCAAGGCGGCTGCGAGGCGCGCGAGGAAGTCAGCGAGGGCATGGAACGGCGCCTGGGAGGACACGCGCGTTGCTGTGCCCAACGGTGTCGACTGGAGAGTGTGCATTCGAGCCGAAAGATGCTCGAGCGAGGCGAGCGTCTGCAGTTCCGAGTGCATGCGATCCCTCTCCTGCAGAACCAGGTGGGTGACGTGCTCGATATAGTTGACACCGCGTTGAAGCTCTGCGGTCGACAGATCTGCACTGTGACCGTGGAGAGAGTCACGGACTTTCGGCAGCGCAGCAAGCAGGCGGAAGAAGAGCTTCTCCAGAGAGGGAAAGAGCTCATCGGAGAGCGACTTCGGACAAGCCTCCAAGATCGACGGACGCGTGTAGATGTGCATCACGCTCTGGTTCATGGAGACCACGTCGGTCTTGAGGTACGAGCTCAGACCGACGCGACGCAGTTCCTTGAGCAGATCAGACCACGCCTTGCGCTTGCGGGCGGTGAGATTCTTGATCGCCTTCTCGTTGTCTTCCTTCGAGAATGCAGGTGTCAGCTTGGCGAGCTGCTGCTGGCGATCGACAATCTCATCTGCCAAGTCGCTCACGCCGGTGGCGGTCGTCGTAGCGGTGAGCAGCGTCGGTCGGAGTCGGTCACCGCCCATCTTCTGCAAGATCGTCAGCGTCTTGGACAGGTTGCGGATGTGCTCCGGAGCCGAGTCCTCGAGACTGGCGATCAGCACTGCTTTCGCCCAAGCATCACTGACCTTGCTGCTCGTCTCAGACGCCGCTTGCACTCGAATCATATCGAGCGACACAGGAGGGATCTCCTTGCGCGTCAGAGCGTCGAGATGGGCTGCAAGCATAGGATCGACAGGCTGACGAAGGATGTCGCGGAACTTGCGCAGTGTCTTGTGCAACTGTCGATGGGTCTTCTGCGCCGACTGCTTGAGCGCATGCACGTTGATGTCTTTCCAGCTCGCGAGCTTGATGAAGCCCAGGATGTCCTTCTCCAGCACTGCTCGCTGACTCTGCAAGGTGTTCGAGATGCGCTCGTCGAATTGACGGAAGAAGGTGGTGACATTCTTCAGAACGACACCGACCTCCTTCAGGCCGCGACTCTCCTTGGGAGGGGCCAGACGGACCAACCTCTCGACAAAGTGCGCAAACGACTCGAGAAGGGAGAGACGACCCTCAAACTGACCCAGGGGACTCGAACGAACGAACTGATCCACTGCATCGATCAGCTGCTCGACGTGGCTCTTGAAAGCGTCAGGCCCGTCGGCAGAAGCGGCACGGGTGCCGCGAACGACGATCTCGTAGACGCGGAACCACCAGCCGCCAAGCTCTTCCTGGAAGTTGCGGGTCTGTGTGTTGAGCAGTTCTGCCCAGCAGGACAGCTCCAGCCGCCTCCACTCGATGATCTGAGCCGAGATTCGTTCCCGGTTGGACTGGAGCGAGGTTTGCTGGCTCGCGAAGCCCTCCCAGTCTTCGGTGTGAGTGAGCAGTTGCTCAAGAGCGCTCAACATCTTGGCGACCGGACTCGCCGCTTCGAGGCGGAGCACAGCATCGCATCGGTCTCGAATGTGCTGCAACACCATCTGCTCCGGCCAGTCTTGAATGAGAGCGTCCAGACGCAGACGCAGTTCCTCGACGATGACGGTTGCCTTGCGGATCTCGGAGGGGCGGGGGTCCAGGTAGAAGTTGAAGTCACGAGCCGTTTGCTTCGACGCGAGATGCTCGTCGATCGCAGCAGAAAGGCCGAAGGCTGCGCCAGTTCGGTCGATCTGCTCTGACCAGTCGCGATGATGCTTCCGCAGGAGCTTGGTCACCAGCGCATCACGTTCCCGATGATACAAATCAGACCCAGCATTGCTTCGCGAGGGCCCAAAGATCGCCATGTGCGCGCTCAAGACGGCGGTGAACCGCTGAGAGGGCAACAGCACGCCGACGGACTGCTCTTCTTGAGCAGCGCGTCGGGTCGTGGGTGCGTCCATGACATCGTCGCCATATTCTGGGAAGAGGGCGTGGAATTCCCTTTCTTCGGCATCCGCATCCAGCTCGATCGACTCCTCGACCTTGCGAGATTTGTACAGACTGGTCGCCTCTTCCTCTTCGCGCTTGGCCCTCTCTCTGTCGAGAGCCCACAGCTGGAACACCCTCTCGTACGTGCGACTGATGGCACGCAATGTCTCGCGCTTCTCGAGCACATCGATGCCGAGTGCGGTGTGATCATAGGCAACAGAAGCGGTCGATACGATGAGAAGCGCGGCAGAGACGTCCGAGCGTGCCTGCAGCTGACCCGACAGGTCCAACTGACGCAACAAAGAGGAGCTGCGTGTCGTCGGGAAAGCGCTCAGTGCTTGGACGATGGCACCGCGCTGCTTGACGTCCTCAGATGCGGAGGCGATGCGGGCTGCCTGGCGGACGAGTCCAAGTCCGAGTTGCAGCTGCGACAACGAAGCTGTGATTGGCTCCACCATGTCTCGCAGCTCGGAGAATGTCTTGCGCAGTCGATCGCCAAACGACAGGATGCTTGCTTGCAGGCTGTCCTCGCGTTGCTGGGCCTGCTCAGAGTGTCCGTTGAGCAGCGCCTGGACCAGATCATCGACCCTCTTGGCTGTGATGACCTCTTTGAGGAACGATGAGGTCTCGCGGTAGAGCTGCGACAGGAGCTTGAGATTCGGCTTGCGCCACGCCTGGCCGTCATCGCCGCCTTGAGGACTCAGCGCCGACCTGCTCTCCTCCATCTGTGCCCGCAACTCGTCCGTCACACGGTTGCGCGAGCCGCCTGTCACCATCGACTCGGCAAAGACTTCGAGGGCCAACGCGTTCTCCAGCTGGGTGCGGCAGAAGACGCCAAAGTCGGCCATCGTCCTGCGAGCGACGATGGGGTCCAATGCCACGTTAGGCAAGAATAGACGCAGCATGATGAGAGAGGCGGCAATCCATCCTCGTCCAAGCAGCGCGATACTGGCTTCCTCGTCCGAGGCGTCGGTCTCGGACAGGGAGAAGCTCTGAAGGAATGAGGTCCATTCCGTCAAAGCGTCTGCAGTGTCCGCTGTGAGGCGCGCATCCGGGCTCGCGAGCACGTAGGTCAAGGCGCTCTGACAGTCGGAAACGGTGAGCAATCCCGTCAAGACTGGCGATTTGAGATCCGCCGAGTGCTTCAGCGCCGCACGGCACAGTGTCTCGGACACGAAGCACACGAAGCGCACGAGGATCTGTGCAAGCTTCTCGGCACGCGAAGGCGAACTAGCAGGCAGGACAGCCCCAGCAGTCTGGATCATCCGTCCGACCGCGACGTCGTGACGCGACTTTTCCGAGAGCGACCTGTCGCCGAAGCGAGACTCCATCAAAGTGTGCACCAAACTGGGGCGCAAGAGGTCGGCCGGTCCGCCAGATGTGGAGCCTGAAGTGGATCCGAAGGGCCACAGACGCCTGATCCAGCTGAAGTCGCTGAGCAGAGCACTCGACTTTGCGGATCCGGGCGCAAGAGACCACAACGCTGCCTTGTTGGATGCAGCGGCAGCCTGGACAGACGGAGAAGGGTGAGACTCGAGCAAGGCGATGACGAGCTTCATCCTCGAAGCGTTTGTGGGATCCGAAAGGCACTCGGGCGTCCTGATCGACAGCTCTGCCATGCTGAGAAGCGTCGCATCTGCATTCTCCGAGGCCCTCGAACGAGCGTGCGGGTCTTGACCTTCTGCGGTGATCTTGTTGCTTGCCGAGCGGATCATCTTCAGCGTCTGCCAGCCGAGCTGCATCATGTCGCGCAGCTCTGAAGGCGAGGCCGACTGCTTGCCGGCGACACAGAGCGTGGCGGCGATGTCCAGGGCTGACTTGAGAAGGTCACCTGACGGTGCGCTTCGAAACAGTTGCGCCTCGTCGCAGATCAATCGATACAGGTTGGTCTGCATGCCCTCGTCTGCACCGTAGAGCGACCAGATCGTGGAGAGAGCTTTGCCACTGGACAGAGTCAACGAGCCTCCAAGCAGATCGATCGTCTCCGTCAAGGCGGCGGCGACGTCAAGGCCGCCGGCGTTGATCTCCCTCACGAGGTTCGACATGAATCGTACCAAGATCTGGATCGACGAAAAGTCCAGCTCCGAACTGGTGCAAAGGCTCTGGAGGTAGTCGGCAGAGCGCATCAGAAGGGCAACCCGGCGCAGAGTAGCCGAGCCGCAGGACGCGGCTGCTTGACTCTGCACAGACGAGACCACCGTGTTGCTGATCGCCACGACGAGCGGGTAGACGTTGCGGACTGCGGTAGCAGCCTGATCTTCGTCGTGCACCGTTGCGGAGCTGCTGAGCCGGGCGGAGCGTTCGAGGATGCTGAGGTCGTTGAGTCGCTTTGACGAGGCTGACTCGAGGACACTCCTAGCCTCTTGACGGTGGAGCAGAGCCACCAGCAGAAGGTCAACGAGCATCTGAGGGGGCAGACCGTGCGACTGGAGAAGATCAAGGACGTTGTCATCGTAGCGTAGGTCGATCGCAAGTCGGTCAGCAAGTTCCTGCGAGACACGACCAACGTTGACCAGGTCTTGTCGAAGACTGAGCCCAGGCGGATGGAAAGTCTTGCCAGATGAGACGACTTCTTGCAGAAGAGAAAGGCTGTTTCCTGAAGCGGAAGGGAAGCACCGCTGGAAGACTTGCAAGGCCAGCGCCAGGGCTCTGGAAGAGCTGAGACGGACCAACAGCGAAGCGGCGGCTGGAGAGCCATGCTCGCCCGCGCCTGCTAGGCACAGAGGCAAGGCAGTCGAAGCGAGGCACGAGTTTTGCAGAGGCAGCTGGCTAGCAGCCCAGGCCGCTGCACGTCGCTGAGATGCGCCTTTCGAGTCTGGCAGCATGTCGGCGGTCAGGATCGCGCGCTGCGTCAATTGCGCTTGGATGGCAGCTTCCATGAGCTCATCCTGAGTCGATCGAGACGGGATCAAAGATTGCGTACGAGTACAGCCACTAAGAATCGCCAGACTGTCCAGGTCGTGAGACGTAGAGTCCGTCTTCGGCAGCAGCGCGATCTCGATGCCTCGGTTCCTCATGGCTCTCGACAGCTCGCCATGGCGCGGATCGAGACACATGAAGACGCGGAAGTTCGGATGCGGTCGGATGACGGGAACCTTGCCATCGACGACACCGCGCTCGCTGATGACGAGACAGCCGTTCGGTTCGAAGAGCGAATTGAGACGATCCAGTACCGAAGCCGAGCAAAGATTGGCGTTGTCGAGCATGAGCCAATGGCCCTCTTGCAGAGCGCGCAGCAAAGGTCCGTCGATCCACTCGAATCTGCCGGTCGATTTTTGCGCATCCGGCGTGTTCTGCGTCATTTCGGTGACGACGGCAACAGCATTTTCCAAGGTGGTCCGGAAAACTTCGTCCCTCACATCGCCCGTCGCGTTGCGGACGTCTTCTAGCGCAGCCGAGAGGAGCTCCGAGGACGGAGAGCTCTGTGACGAGCCTAGTGCGGCTTTCAGCGTGCCTTGAGCTGTCAAGAAGGATGCGTAGCGCGAATGGCTTCGCGCGGCCACCTGCTCGGACAGGCGGTGTGCCTCGCGGACGAGAGCAGCGAGAGCGCTGCGAGTGCGGGTGCTGGGATCGAACTGCTCAAATGTGCCGATGAGATCCATGGTATCGGTGCCCGAGTTCATCTGGTACTCTTCCAAACGAGCGCCGGCAAGTTGGGCCACGAGTCTGACGACGCTAGTCTTGCCGCTTCCTGTCGGGCCCACCAGGATCGAGAGCCATTTCTTCTGAACGCAGTCGATCAATGCTTCCAGCACGGGCAATTGACTCTGCAGGAGCGCCAGGCGGTGGCTCTGCAGTTCCGAGGCAGGCTCCCGCGGCATGACGGCATGGCCAATGCGCACGTGGTTGGCGGTGACCGTGGACACCATGCGCGGTTCGCTGGAAGCGGCGCCGGGGAACGACCTCTTGAAGAGTTCTCGAGCAGAACGACGATCCGAGGCCGTGCGGAAGCGCTGGACATAGAGGGAGGCGAGATGTTCGATGGGATCGCCCAGCTTGTTGAGGCCGAGATCGGTGTGCAGAAGGTCGAGCCATCGCATGAGATCTCGGAGATTGAACTCCCATGGTGCGCCGATCCTTCCGAACGAGTGCTTGACGACCACCTCGTTGTGCAGCTCAAAGTTGAAAAGGATCATGCTACGGAGCTGCTCTGTGTCGAAGTTCGGATACAGGTGCGTGCTGATGGCGAGGATGTCGTCGCCGTCGAGCTCCTCGATGTGCACCTTGATAAAACGGTTCAGGAACGACTTGGGAAGTCCTTTCCTGCCTCCGCCCTGATGATGAGGGTTTTGAGCGGCGAAGATGCGGAAGTCGGGATGCTTGACGAAGGAGCGACCAAGCTCAGGGACGTACACGGTGCCACGATGATCCAGGCACGAGTTGAGGCCCTCGAGCACCGTCTGAGAGGCAAGGTTCATCTCGTCGAGCAACACCCACTCGCCCTGCTGCATGGCGGTGAGGAAGGCCGCGTCGCGCCAAGCAAACTCGCCCGGACCACCGCCCTCCAGAGGCATGTCTGAGCCGAAGAGGTCGACAAGCTCGGTCTGGTCGGACAAGTTGATGCGCGTCAGCGGGCGGGCAGCAGCAGCAGCAAGCGCAGTGATCAGACTCGTCTTGCCCGCACCAGGGCTGCCTTCCAGCAGGACCGACTTTGCCGGTACCGACAAAGCACGGAGCACGCGCATGGCGTTGGATGCCGATGTCTTTGCTCCGAAGCTGAACGAGCCAGAACCCTGGGTCGACGGGTCTGGCTGGCCGCGCGGGACGGAGAACGGCCCAATGCGCAGCTTTTCGCTGGACACTTCGACCTCGAAGAGACTGGACATCTTAGGATCGTACTGGTGAGGTGCGATGAGCTCCGCGACCTTGGCGAGGCAGCGGTCTCTGAGCTGCTCCAGACCCGACGCGGTCATGGCGGATGTGGCGGGCAGCGCGCCCAAGCCATCGATGATGGTCAATGAAGCACCGTGAGCGAATGCGAGGGCTGGATCGAGAGATGATCTGGCCGAGATCTCATTCATGAAAGAGGCCCACGTCAGGAGATCGCGAAGACCGAGACCAGACTGATCGCGACCACCAATCTGGTGGATGAACCAGTCCGAAAAGTCGATGATGGGTTCCGTCCAGGCGGCCAGACTCGCATCCTTCCACTGCGCGTTGATGATCTGCACCAGATCACTGCGGATGTCGACGTGAGGAACCCAGATCTCGGTGAAACGATTGCGCAGAGCTGGAGAGAGCTCCTTCTTGCCGTAGTCGCCACCAGGGTTCATGGTCGCCAGCACCTGGAAACCCTCCGCACCGGTGATCTGTGATGACATCAGATCAGCTTCGGAGCCCAGATGACTCGACGAGGTGGCTCGTTCTGCCAGGACGAGCGTGCGCGCGGGTTCGAGGACGCTGTTCAGGCGCTCGAGAACGCTGTCGTCTGCTAGCGAGATCTCGTCGAGCAGGATATGGTCGCCGGCGCGCATCGCCTGGACCAACGGACCATCCTGCCATTCGAACAGTGCAGTGGCTTGATAGACGCTGCGCAGGGCAGAGCGAAGCGCCGACCTCGCCTCGTTCCTGGATGCCTCTTCGAGCGAGGCAAAGTACTCCTGCTCCTTGGACAGGACTGCTTCCACAACCGACGAGACGTCCTCCATCTTGCTCTGTGCGTTCAGCTCGTGAACGATGCCGAGGCTCGAAAGCACTTCGATGCAAGAGACCGCGGCCGACCTTTGCAGGGCGGCTCGGTTGCGGAGCGGACGTTGACCACCAAGCAGATCCGCCGTATCCGTGTTCTGGTGGCAGTTGACACAATGCAGTTGGCGGCCAAAGGCTGTGGCGAGCACCTCGCACACGGATGTCTTGCCAGCACCCGTCTCTCCCACGAGTAGGACAGGTTCGTTGTAGCGCAGACTGGTCGCCACCAGGCACAGCAGACGCTGGAACGCAGAGGTCTGCACGATGCTTGTCTGCGAGAGGGCTGCAACGATGGCTCCTCCGATGCCCGTGCCGATGCGAGCTAGCGTCGCCTCGCTGTCCGGGCCTTCAAGTCGGTACATGCTTTCGACATTGAGCTTGACGCGCATGACCTTCTCGATGACCTCTTGTACGATCTCCTTGTCATCAGCGCGGCGCGCACGCTCAGCGATCAGCATGTAGCCATTCTCTGCAAGCTGCTGGTAGCCGACTGCCTCTCGATTTCCCCAGCGGAAGAGATCGCGCAGCGTGACAAAGGCCTGTTTGGTCTCGAAGACGCGACCAGCCTGACGACGCTTCTGCAGCTCTTCAAAGACACCAACGATGCGTGACGAGTAGGACGGTGCGATCTTGCAGCGGTTGGTCAGGATGGTCTCGAGCTCGGCGCGAGGGACATCGTCGAAATGGAGCTCGAGGAAGCGGTTACGGAAGGCGCGACTGAGCACCTTGCGGCCAGCGTACAGACCGGGCGGATTCTGCGTTGCGAAAAGCATAAAGTGAGGGTGGGGCTTGACCACCTCGCCAGTCTCGGGGATTACGAGCTCGCGGTTGTCGTCCAAGAGACGGTTGAGCGCCTCAAGAACATCGGTAGGCGCGAGATTGAGCTCGTCCAGAACAATCCAGTCGCCTCTGCGCAGCGCCTTGACCAGCAAGCCTTCCTGGAAGCTGAGCTTACCTGATTCCGGATCAGACGCATACGAGCCGATATACTCTTGAATATCGGTGTGCTCGTGGTTGTTGATGCGGACGAAGCGATGGCCGGTGCGTCGGGCCAGGTATTCGACGGCACTCGTCTTACCGGCGGAAGTTGGGCCCTGGATGAGGACGGGGAAGCGGCGCACCAGCGCTGCTCGCGAGAGACCGACAAGCTTACTTTGTACCGAGGGTGTCAGGATGTAGTCCTCGGCCGCATCGAGCGGTGCCGGACCCGTAGGAAGCCAGAAGGGTCCAACCTGAACGAACTTGCCATCGTCAGCCCCCTCCGGCGCAGGCGGGACGTACGTGGCGATGGAGCGGGCGTTCTTGGCCTTGGAGAGAGTGTGGCGTTCGATGATGCCGCGCACGAGCCTGGCGCTGGCCTCGTCGAGGAGCAGGGTGAACGCCATGATGAAGCCTTCCCAAAGACTGCGACGGAGGCCGTACTGGGGGACAATGTCGGTGGCAAAGGTGAGTGCGCGCGACAGGGTGCGGATGGAGTAGTGCGGGCGCTGATTGGCACCATCTGCAAGTTGGTGCTGTTGGGCCAAGCGACGGATCTCGGTGTAGCACTCGGCTACATCCATCACGGCACCACGATCGCCGAGGGCATGCTCTCCGATATACTTGTCTACGATGGCGGTGAGCGCTTCGCGGTCGGCGTCGGGGCTGGGCACGTAGAGCTCGGTGAAACGGGATCGCAGGCTGGCCGGAAGATCCTTCTTGCCGACGTCGGTAGCCGGGTTCATGCAGGCGAAGATGCGGAAGTTGGGATGCCTCGGGATGGGCTCGAGGTCGCCGCGCTCGGTGAGAGTGATGCTGGACGTAGGAGACTGGAGGAGGCCAGTGAGGCTGTCGAGCGTCTCTGCGGCTGCGAGATTGATCTCGTCGAGCAGGAGCCAATCGCCTTGACGCAGTGCTTTGACCAAGGGGCCCTCGACGAAGGAGAAGACAAGGTTCTTCTTCTTGCTGCCATGCTGGAGGCCGAAGGCTCGCGCCTTTTCGTCCAAGTCGAGCCACTCGCGATCGAGCTCGGCCTCGGCGCGCGCATCGTCGACATCGGCGGGCGAGCCTTCCGTGGCGCCCTTGTCGGTCTTGCGCTTCTTGCGGGAAGCCGAGCTGGGGCGAACGTCGGCGCCCGGGTCGGCGATGCTTTCTTCGGCAGCTTCGGTACCATTGGCCTTGGTGGAGCCTTTCTTGCGTTGGGACGCCATCTTGGCAGATTCGCGCCACAGGAGGGCGAGGCGCGACCACTTGCCAGCGACGAAGGCCTTGCGCTCGGCATCGACGAAGCGTGCATTGCGGCGGGAGGAGAAGGTGCGTGCGAAGAGCGAGCTCCACTGGTCGTGCAGCTCGGTGGCAGGCAATTTGGGATCGAGCGGCTTGAATGCTCCGAGGAGATCTCCACTCTCGGTCTGCTGGCTCAAGTTGAGCGCCGTCATGGGCTGGCCAAGGAGCGAGGCGAGGTGCTGAACGACGGTGGTCTTGCCGGTTCCCGTTTCACCGACGAGAAGGAGGGGCTCTGCCAGCGCGGTGGCGACGGTGAGCCTCTCGAGCAGCAGCAAAGAAGGCTTTGTCATGGCAAACTTTCTCGAGACGGGCATGGCGCGTTTGGCGGTGGCCTTGGATCGGCGAGCAAGCTCGCAGCGACCGACGCGGATCGCGCTCGTGGCGCTGTCGACGGCTGCGCTCATGGCAACCGCGTCGGTGGTCGAATCGAGAGACCTGACGGACAGTTCCGGGATGCGCTGCTTGAGCGCCCACCAAGCGCGCTCGCTGGTCAGGCCGAGTTCTTCGGCCAGGAGCTCCACCAAAGCACCGTAGCGGTCGACTTGCTTGCCGTTGGTCGATCTGGAAATCTGCAGGGTAGATGAGGCTGATGATGCAGCTGTGCCTGATCCCAGGACATCGGAGGCCGGAGGCACTGAGCCCAAGAAGATGTCGCACGCTTCGATGAAGATCTCCTCCTGCTGAACCGGGTTGGTGAGCGGGTCGCTGAGCATGGCTTGATCCGCGGCCAAGAGGCGCTCGACGCGGCGGGACCACTTGATGAGGTCGCGGAGCGTCGCCACTCGCACGCTGCCTGCATTTGTGCCCGTAGCTTGGGCGGCGCCGTGCGTAGAAGGTTGGGTGGCGCGCTGAAGCTTGTACCAGGTGGCTACGAGACGCTCGACGAAGCGCGGTTGCGATTCGGCAAGCCGAGGCGATTTGTTGGTCAAGATGGTGCTCACATCTTGCAGGGAAGGAGCATCGATGGTCACCTCGGACCAATGCGAGGCGCCGAGGAAGGTGGCGATGGAGGAGGCGGCTGCTTTCTTTGCAGACGAAGAGGAGGAGGCGACGGAGCGAGTGGCGAAGAGAGCAAAGCCGGTGCCTGCGGTCACCTTTCCGCGAGTGCCGAGGTCGATGATGGGACGCAAGCCGACAGCCTTGGTGGGGCTGAGCTGCTGGACGATGCGTGCGACGGTGCTGAGCACCTCGGAGCCGGCCTTGTCGATGTCTTCGAGGACGACCCACTTGCCCTGGCGAACGGCGCGCGTGAGGGCGCCCTCGGTCCACTCGAACTTGCCGGGCTCGGTTGGGCTGGAGACGAACGAGCCGAGGAGCTGCTTGGCATCGATACCGGACTGGTCGCCGAGCTGGATGGTGAGGAGATGGCTTGCGGCCGCAAACGACTCGGCGCCCTTGAGCAGTTGCGAGAGGTGGCGGATCAAGGTGGACTTGCCGCTCGAAGGTGGTCCAGAGAGCAGGATGGGGTAGTTGAGGCTCAGGCGAAGGGCGAGGTCGGAAAGCGCCGCAGTGATGCCCTCGGTTTCGACGAATGGATCGTGGGATCGCGTCGCAGCCGATTCCCGATTCCTGCGTGGCGAGCAAGAGAGAAGGACGCCTCCGATGCAGCACACCTCGGCCGAGAGGTCTGCGCTCGACAGTCGAGCATGCGAACGAGGCTTTGAAGCATCTGTGGCTGAGGCTGAGGGAGTGTCGGCAGCATCCGATGGATGCGGAAGGAAAGCGACTCGACGTGACATGACGAGGCCTCGAATTCGGTCGATCCGACCGAACTCTTCCACTTCGAGCGTCCAGACGTTGATGCCCGCAGGTTCGAAGGCAAGCGTGGCGGTGGCTTCGACTGCGTACTGGTCGAAAACGTCGGTCGATCCGAGGTTGAGGCACTTGCGCTGCAGCTCGATCCTGGCCTGTTCGCTGCTGTTCTGGAGCGCAGAGAAGAGCGCGACGGCGAGCAGACGCGTGGGAAGCGAGTCGGAAGGCTCCGAGGCGCTGAGGATCGAATGCGCCCATTGTGTGTAGGATGTGCCGACCTCGTCAGCCAGCGAGAAGGGAGCAGCAGAGGCGATTCGCAAAAGGTCGAGCAGAACCTGGTTGCGCAGCTCGGGCTGCTCTGCCGTGATGCCGTGCACGAAGGAAGCCGAGGCGAATGTGGCGAGGAAATGCGAGAGTAGACTGATCATGAAAACGCATACAAGCTGAGGGTCAGAAGGTGCGCAACATCAACACAGATACGGGTACGTGAGCGAGCGAACGCTACTTACTCGTGAATCTCGGGGAATATGCTGATGAGCAGCGCAAAGGTGTGCAGAATTTGAATCGCCGCCTGCGCATGGGCACGGTTGGAAGCGTCGATCCGCTTCAGCACCCGGGCCAGGAGCTCGAGCAGCACGGGCTTGAACTGAGCGGCGACGGATACAGTGCAGGATGGGTCGATGAGCAGGTCGGCCACACGGCTGAGCGCATCCGAGGCGGTGCCCTGACCAGCGTCGAGGCCGGCCAGGACATCTTGAACCAGACCGACGGCATTGGACTGCTCTGAGAGCTCTTCTGCCAACGCTGAGCAGCTCGCATGTACATCGAGATCCAGCGCAGAGCGACGAGAGACAGCGGCGACCTTCGCCTCCACCTGCGCCGTCGAGGGCGTCGAATCTGCTGCGAGCCCCATCGCGTCGGCCGAATCGCAAGGCAGCAGGAACGCAGCCGGAAAAGACAGACGGGTTAGGAACGATCGGTACGAGAGTTGGCCATCGGAGGGTGAATCGAAATCTCTGCTTGATGTGAGTCCGAGACGTTTCAAGGCTGGAGTCTGACGGTGAGATGAAGGGAGTCGGTGGTGTTGTCGCAAAGCTGCAAAGCGTGCCAGTCAGTGCGGAAGCCGCTCCTCTCTGCTTCCGCAGTTGCTCAGCAGCTCAACTCGACTTTTTTTTCTTCTTCTTGCTGCTCCACCTCGTCAAGCGCGAAGTTTTTACGCGCCGTAAAAAACAGCGCAGGGATGCCTCGCAGCAGCAGGAAAAGCTCGAAAGCTCGGACCCTGCGGCTCTCCGAGTCCCGAGGTTCGCATTCAACTTTTTTGCGCTTCCACCTCTGCCTGCTGCAGCTTCCATCATCTTGCCAAGCCGAAACCATCTCGAGCGCCTCTCTTCGTGCCACAACGCCATCACAGCATTCAGCTCCAAGATGTCGGTCATTCCTGGTAAGTCACCGAAATCTCCAATCCGCTCGTATGACTGCTTCTCAAAGACTGACGCGGCGTGCTGCTCCAAAAACATAGACAAGATCGGCTCGCTCCTCTTTTGTCCCAACTGCGGATCGTTGCTCGATGTCCCTGGCGACGAAGACTTTATCAAGTGTGCTCCGTGCGGCGCCGTTCAGAACGCCAAGGGTAGGTCTGAAGTCGCACCGTCCTGACGAACAGAGCAGAACAAGGACTGACCGCATCTCCTGCCGACTTGACGCCTGGGTCGCCACAATCGCACAGTTTACGACAACCTCTCCATCGTCACTCGCTCCCATCCCTCGGCATTCCCTTCCGCACTCCGTCAGAAACGTCAGCTCGTCAACACAGCCGCTTCCATAGGCAACGACAACAAGCCCAAGGAGGCGACCATCAAGGAAAAGTGCCCCGGATGCGGCAACGACGAGATGAACTTCCATACCCTGCAGCTCCGCTCCGCTGACGAAGGCACCACCGTCTTCTACGACTGCCCCAAGTGCGGCTACAAGTTCAGCCAGAACAACTGAGCCGGTCGCCTGCTCGCTCGTTCGCCCGCCCGCTGCACCGCCACTGTCGTCGTTATCGCTTCCCCTTTTCTTGCATTGTATTACTAGCCGCAACCCTCGTGAATCGCCTTCTTGCTACTGTACTTTTATTCACTGCCGTCGTCCATCCGGCTTTGCGACGATGTGCCGCCATACGCCCTCACAGCTCGCCCTCGTCCTCGTCTTCGACATCCCAGTCTACAGCCGCCTCGAGCTCCTCCGCCTCTGCGTACATCTTGTCGAGCCCCGTCAGCTTTTCCAGATACTGCTCCTCGTTGAATGCGCGCAAGAGCATCTCGAAGCCCAAGCTGCGGTACGCCTCCACCACCGCCGCACTGCAGCCCGTGCACCGGTCGTACGCCTGGCCGACGATCCGGAGCGTGTTGAACTGCGCCAGGAAACCACGCAGCTGATGCGGCACGATGCCCAGCGCCGTAGTCGCGCGCGCCACCGCCTCGGCATCCTCGATCCCCTGCCTGGACGTCTCGCCCGCCGTAGCCGGTGCGTGGACACCCAGGTCGTGCTGCAGCACCGAAACCATCAGTTCCACCGCCGACGCTCCTGCGATCGCAGCCAGCCCCGGCCGTGTGACAGTGCACATCTGATCCAGCGTTCGGTCCGTCAGCGAGTCCGAGGGAGCAACGACATCGTTGCAGAAGTAACAGCCCAGGCGGCCATGCCAGCTCTTACCCGCACCTGCACCGGACGAGCTTGTCTGCTCAACACCCGCTGCGGCTGGAGGCGCTCCATGGCGCATGACCAAGTAGCTGTCGAAGCCCAGGGCTGCATTGATGACCAGCTTGGACTTGGCTGCACCCAAGAGCGTCGGTAGCCATCGACTCTCCCGTGAGTCCATGAGGAGGAAGACGACGTCGTGCTCCTCCACGAGCTTCTCCAACCTCTCCACGTCTGCTTTCACCTGCTCCTTGCTGCTTCCCGGCACGGGATGGCCGGGCATCGGAACACTGAGGCTGATGCCCTTGGCCTCCACGCCCGGGTAGATGCGCGCAAGCTTGCTGGCAGCGCATTCCGCCTTTGGCTGCCCACCGTCGAGGCAGTCTTCAAAGTCGAAGAGTGGCTGTCGCACGGGATTGGAGAAGGACACCTTGGCCGAATCCACCAGCGTGATCTTACGCACGCCCCAGCCGAGAAGCGCACGCGCAACGTAGCACCCGAGCGTGCCAGCACCCAGCAGAAGGCAGCGGGTGGATTGAATCGTCTCGAGCTTGATCTCGGGCATGATCCTCCAGCGCATGAGCTTGAGGTTGAGATCGACCGCCTGGTCGGCAAGTTTTCGCGGATCCATCAGCGGACCGAGGTCGGCGATCTTGGGCGCCAGCTTGCCTTGTGCATTGCGTTCCCAGCCGACGCCGCTCGGAAGCAGCTCGTTGTTGGGCTTGCTCGCGATCCGTGTAGCCCTGCCGTTGAGCGCAACACGCGGCGTAGAAGCGTTGTGCTCACCTGCAGCAGAGGGCAGAAAGACCGTTCCGACTGTACTTCGCATACGATCTGCGGCCAGCTCTCCACTGGTGGCGGCAAGGTCGTCCTTCCAGCAGATGACCGTGGCTTGCTCGACGCCGAAGCGGGCGTTAAGATACGCCAGCAGGTTGCGCAGTGGCCATCCTGGAATCTGAGGCGCGCCTGACGGATCTACGAATCCGACGTATCGCTTTTCCGGTCGCACGCCCTCGAAGAAGGGCTCGTATTCGGAGATCCTGCTGCACACGACTCCGGCCTCGGCATCGGCCTTGGCGAGGAAGAAGCCTCTGGCCGAGTCGTGCTGGCGCATCCAGCCCGCGATGGCATTGCAGCCTGTGTCGCCCAGTTCGCCCGAGATGGGCTGCCAAGCGTCAGGATTGTCGGCAGATTGAACGGTCTCCCAAGCCGGGCTCGTGACCAAGGCAGGATAGGCGAACCAGTAGTAGAACTTGTACTTCTTGAGGTCGGCGAACGTGAGAGCGAGGAAAGTGGTCAAGAAGATCTCGGGCTCCGAGGTGGCATTCGCGATTCCATCCCAGATGTCTGCGAGTGAAGCGTCGAAGATGGCCTGCTTGTCGGCATTGCGAAAGGACTCGATGGTGTTAAAGTTCTTGAGGAATCCTCGAGCTGGTGTGGTGTGGTTCGACGAGGATGGGCGCTCGCCCGAGTCTGCCGCGATATCAGCAGCGCGGATGCTCGCGGCGTCGAGACTAATCTGGCTGCCGAGGGAGACCGACTCCCCCGTTGTGCGATCGAGGATCACCTTCCCTGGCGTGTAGGCGGCATGGATGGGCACCGACTCGTCGCTCAGCTGGAGCTTGTCGATCTTGAGCGAGGAAAGCTCCTGCCAGAAGGTTGGATGGATGTTCGTGCTGAATGGCGCGAACTTGAGGATCGGCATGACGAGCGACGTCCACGAGGCGGAGCAGAACGGTAGCGGTCAAGGCGGTGAGGGTGGTGACCGACGTGAGGCAAGGCTGAGTCGCGCCGAATGTGCGGGCCAGTGCGCGTGGAAAGTGGTGGAGTGGAGCAGAGAGAGACACAGCGAGACAGGGTCCGGATCAGGGTCCAGCAGTTGGTGCCTTCTGCTGGCTCGGCGGCCTCCGCGCCAATTTCAAGTTGCGAGGCGTTACCCAGGGCTCATCAACGGATACTGGCACGCATCCACGCCGCTTTCAAGCTTTCGAGCCAGACAGTCGATGGTCAGCAGCCGCGAGAGCCGCATGTTCTGATACATCGTATGCGGAGTGCGCGATGGGTGAGGAGAGGTGCTAAGAATACAACAAGAGAAAAGAAGCTCATTGAATGACGGGGCGCAGATTGGCTGTGGGATGGTTCCGCGCTTCATCGACGGATGAGACCAGGCGGACCGCCCGAAGTGAATGGTGGCGCCTTGCCTTTGACGCCCTGATAGGCCATGCCACCAAAGGGTATGTTTGGGTTGAACTTGCCCGCCGGAGGCAGCGCGGGCGGTGCGGGTGCCTGGCCCGCGCTCTGGCGTAGTTTCTCGCGCTCGGGCGACTTCCAAGCAGCGCGGATGGCGGGCGCAGCGCTGACGAGCTCGTCTGCATCTACACCGTCGCGAATCGACTTGAGGATCTTTTCGACGATGGAGCGATGGTTGCCGTGGTGCTTGTCATCACGGATGCGCATCATCCTCCATCTCGGCGGGAGGCTCAGGCCTTGGGAGATGTAGGGCTCGGTTGCAGGATGCGGGTCGACGCTCCAGACGCATTCGACGACACGATCGTCAAACTGCTCGCCCGAAGCCGCCATCTGCCTCCACTCTTCGGGCTCGACCCAGAGCTCGTCGAAGAACTCGTAGTCGTCCGATGCGGAATCGCCGAGGTACTGATGGAGCTCGAAGAAGGGCATGGTGGAGAGATTGGGCAGGTTGCCTCGCGGGTCGCGCTCGAGGTCGGGCGGGAAGCGGAGGACGAGCTTGAAGTCGATCGTATTCTCGTATGGAGGCTTCCACTTGAGGATCTTGGGATCGGTGCCCATCACGTAGCCGCTGTTGAGGCAGGTGAAGATGAGGCCGTCGTTGCCGTGCAACAGGTTGGGCACCGTCTCGAACAGCACCTTCTGGATGCCGTACGCCAAATCCATCTTTTTGACTTGGACATCGAACGGTCGCCGTGCTGCCATGGCAGGATTGCGTTTGAGATAGTCGACGTAAGGCGGGTAGATGTAGCTTTTGAGACGGCCGTAGCGCTTGCTGAGCGGTCGATTCGCCAGCAGCTCACGGTCCAAGACGATGAGGTCGAATAGGAGCAGCACGAGCTTCTGATTGCCTCTGTCATCGCAGTCGATGACGAGCTCGCCATCCATGAGCGTGTGGTTGCGCATTCCGCCGAGACGCGCCGCTTCGGGATCATGAGGCATGTGGTGCGGGAAGACGATGCCGTCGACCTTGTAGTAGTCGTTCTTGCGATCGATCAGAAACACCTCTTGTCTGCCTGTGGAGGCTGGAGTGACGATGAGGATGAGGACGCGCTGGCCGTCCGACTTTTCGCACACCCAGTAGTCTTCGGACTGGAGGAGGTCGATCGAGGCCTTTTCAAACGAAACGGGTTGGGCGCCGGGGAAGCGCATGTGGGGTACTTCGCAAAGGTCGCGCACATGCTGACGGAGAAACGCGAGCTGCTGCGGATCCTCGACCTTGCGGCCGGGTACCTTTGGCACGCTGGCAGTGTGACCGAGAGGAGCCATGCTTGCTGATCGATCCGACGCCTCGACGCGGCGATCCGCAAGGATCGACTTAGGAGCGAGGGCGAGTGGCGGATGACACCACTGCCGAATAGCGAGGCCAACAATGCGCCACGAATCTGTCCGCGATGGTCAAGAGGAGGAGAGACGTGGTCGTAGACGGGATGTAGCAAAGTAGAGCAAACACAACTATCCGCGGACACCTCGACCACCAACTGCCACTCGAATTCAAGCAGAGCTCGGCCTGGAGTTTCCGTCCGAGTTCCGAATTCTTTCTCGCTGGTTTGCTTCTCGTACGAGATGTTGCCATATAGCTGCCGAGAAAGTTGGCGCCGAAGGGAGCCATGGCGAGCAGATGCTGCAGCTCGCTTTGCTGCTGTGATAGAGTGAGCGGCTGGCCCGATCAGGATGCGCTCGACCCGACGCAGGTTCGAGCCAAGCAGCGACAATGCGAGAAAGCGCTACGGGCCGCCGGGAAGGGCATGCAGAAGAAGGCCGGGAGGGGCGGGTCAGAGCTGGACCCCTTTGTGTCTCACGAAGGAGCCGCTTTCAGAATTGGATCGACAAGGCACACTGCATAGAAGGCGTCCACAGAAGCAGGCGAGAACGACCGAGCATGAGCAAAGTTTCGGGCGGCAAGCAGCGACTGAGCCGGACTGGACCCAGCTCCGTGACGCTGTGTCTGCCCGCCGGAACAAAGACGGCGGCGTATCGCCCTGATCAGGTCATCGCGGACACTCTCTCCGCTTTGGCAGCTGGGTTAGGATTGTGGGCCGGGCTGCTTGTGTGGGGGAAGGAGCTTCGAGTGGTGGTCGGCCAACATGGACGCTTTCGCCACGCACTCGATTGACTGGGCAGCAAAGCAGCTGCGAGCGCTGGGCTCGACTGTTTGGAAATCGCAATCAGGGGAATTCCCTCGATACAGCCGCGGCAGGGCAGAGGGCTCTGCGGGCACAGCCCCTGATCTGGCTGGGCCTTCTGGTGCCGGGCTGAGAGATGCTCCGAGCGTAATTTGGCACGGCACGGCACGGCACAGCACAGCACAGCACAGCACAGCACA